CGACTCCACCACGATCCTGCGGCGCTTGGTCTTGGCGCTCGCCAAACGGGTGGCTCTTCCCGGTCGCTTCCTGCCTTTGGCTTCATCCTCGCTGTTGTTCTCTTTGTCGTCTTCGCTGCCAGAGGAGACGCCATCCAACTGGAAAGCGACAAAACAATAATAATCATCATCATCATCGTCGTTGCATTTGATGCAGCCCCTTATCACGTCTCAAAGCGCTTCACACAATATACCGTAAAGCGTAAGTGACTGTACATTTTGTGGGCGAAACGCGGCAGCCAATTGCGCAGAGCGACATCCCCACAAACCGTCGTGGATTGAGTGACCAAATTATTATTTTTTTTTTCTTGAAGGGATTATCATCGCCGGAAAAACGATCCGCCAATCGTCTAACAACCGGGTTCCTACTTGCTGCTGGGTAAACAGAGGCGTGTGGAGTAAGGAAACTTGCCCGAGGTTCGGGAAACGGGCAGTAAACATTTACGAATAGAGGGTTTTTCATCAAATTATTATAATTTGTCGCAAACATCTTCTTCCCCCTTCTTCTGAAGGCTCATTCCCTGTTAGTTCCAAGCCCTGTAAGCCGACACGCGCGCACCAAGGAAACTAATGGATCGTGGATGCGTGTTGGAGGGCAAAAGAAACGACGGACATCACAGCCAAACCCAATTCTAGCCTCAACAACAACAAGATTCCATTTATAAAGCGCCTTTCACGTCAGGAGGACGTCCCAAGGCGCTGTTACCGGGGGGCCATTGGACAACCGATGATCTGGAGAAGAAACCTAATCAATTGGGAGCACTGTTCAGATTGAACTGAGCGCAGCTCTCCCCAGTCTGTGGGCCTCTGCTGTTCATTGGGTCTTAGCCCAGGTCAACAGCCTCACAGGCCAGTGCCTGGACAAGTTGCTCGGGAGCAGTTAAATCCTTTTACCAAATCTCTGATTGGATGACGGCCCGGATATCATTGCATCGGTGCGAGTGAGTGAGTGAGTGAGTGAGTGAGCGAATTAAAAAACTATGGACTAGAATTAACCCGATATTGATCGTTGGCTCACTTACCAATCAAGACTTTTACCCAAGACCCACTGTACCTTGAAGCGCTGTGGGCTATCCTCCCGACATGAGGATATACGAAATGCTTTCGGTCACCCTCCTACCTCCACCCACCCCCCGCGCCCACTGATTCCAACCCCAGCTCAGGTCCAGATCCCTGACTGTCCAGCACCTTGGGATGTCCTCCCACAGTGGAAGGCGCTGTACAAGTGTAATGTGTTGTTGTAGGTAGTATTATCATCACCTCCATTTCTTCCTCTTCCTCCTCTGCCCCGCTCTCTGGCTCAGATGGCTCCGTGCACACAGCCAGCTCCAGGCGTTTTTCCTTTGGCTGCTGAATGGCATTGTCTGCCATTTCCATGGCTCTGCGGATTTCAGGCTTCCCACTGAAGTAGAGGCCGCCCCTCTGTGCCTCTTTACAGTCAGACCCTGTGAAATTAGTGACAGGTTAACAGGGGCCCTAATTCTCCTTCTCAAGCACTGCTTTCCACCAACATTCATTCACCTTCTTGTCACAGGAAAGCGCTTTCTTCATGTCAAAACATCTTAAACTATGAGAAATAGCTTTCATTTACAGAGAGTCTTTCGTGTAAATCAAGCGTCTCATAGCAAGTCTAGAAAATGAAAATGAAATAGAAATTAAATTGAATGTTACATAGGAAAGTTACCTGAGGTTCTGCCTGACTGGGAATCAAACCCAGGTCCTCTCGCTTGTGAGGCGAGGGCGGCTATCTGGGGGATTACTGCCCACGACATTGGGAGAAACTCCATTCTCTTTTCAAGTACGACAAGAGAGTTTCTCTCAAGTGTCCTGACCAACAATCCCCCAAATAAAGTTAGTCACTCACTTCATAGCTGTTTGTGGGACATTGTGGTGCACTAAATGGCTGTCACTTTCACCTACAAAAAGCCCTCCAAAAATTGGCTTAGGCTTAAAATAAATTGCCCATTCACCCCCACCCCCACCCTCTGCCAAAATCGAAACATTTAGAAGTTTTCCCCATTGCGGAGGCGAGATTCACACTGAAATCTCTCTCTCTCTCTCTCTCTCTCTCTCTCTAGCTGTGCTTGATGAGTTGCAAACCTTCAAATCACCGGGCACTATATCAGCATCGGCGACTTTCTGCCAGCAGCCAGATCTCATCCGAATGAGATATTGTCGAAAGGACGAGCTACACTTATAAGACTAAATCAGGGTGGGTCCAACCTTTTGGCTGCTGAGGGCCGGATGCCCTATTCGAGAAACGGCCGCAGGCCCCACAAGTAATATTTTGGCGTTTCCCTTCCAGAAACAGAACAGCAACATTCACGGGTTACGGAAGGAACGGGTGGGCCGGATGCGGCCCGTGGGCCGCCAGTTGGACTACCCTGGAGTAAGTCACGGCCTGGCGTATTTGCCTCTTACCTGCATACAGCTTGATATACTTGACGCTCACCCAACCCCTTGTTGGAGGATCATCGAAGAACTGGACGTGGACACGGAGGGATTTCCCTTTGCCCCGCAGGAACTCATCTGTGGTCGGGTGGTCGTACACGAGGCTCGGCCACCACGGGTAGCCTTCCAGCTTAGCCCACACCAGGTCCCCTGGAGAAAACTCACACGACTGACTGTCCGAGAGAACACAATTTCAAAAAAAAAAAGTAAAGACACGGTCACAACATTTCTCAGCGCAGATTTACTTTCATTCACTGTTAGGTAGTGTCAGCGCCACAAACTATCTCAAAAGCAGCGTTAACCTGCAAACAACCCCATCCAGATATTTTCCCCATCTACAGAATACGTACACTTATATTAATTGGCCAATACCTGACAGTCCCAACGATGCAAAGCTTCCCCCGGTACTGCACTGCGATGTTAAGATTGAATTACGAGCTCAAATTCTCATGTCGGGATTGAACTCAACCCTCTGACCTGAGGTGGGAGTGCCACCACCAACTGAGCCAAAAAACTAGCACACTTAGGTAGAGTCCTGCAGCGCGTTGGTTAGCGCACTTGCCTCGCAAGCGAGAGGACCTGGGTTGGATTCCAGGATGAAACCCGAGGCAAGTGTCCTCACCCTACAAGCCTCTGTTTACCGAGGAGTAAGCAGGAACCCGGTTGATAAGATGATGGGCGGATCGCTTTTCCGGGGGTAATAGTCCCTTTAAAAAATATATATAGTTTGGTCATTCAATCCACAACTGTGGGACACTGCTGTGCGCAAATGGGTTTCAGTCACAACATATACCGTTTACGGTATAGTCCGTGAAGGGCTTCGAGACGTCTCACAAGACGCGATAAGGCGTTATATCAAATGCAAGGATTATTATTGTTATTATAGGTTGGACTAAAGGGAGGGACAGGAAAGGCAAAATATCTAAGAGTTAGAGAAGCAATTTCACAGCGGATCTAAAACGCTTCTCAAAGATGAAGGTCAGAAGCTTTTTGCTTCCCTATTGGATTTAGTTCCACTGAAATTTTTTTTTCCCCACATGACTAATAAAATGCAGCTGCAAGTCAGATCAGGTCAGAGGCGCCATTCCCCTCCATAGGTAAACACAGCTCTCCCTCTCCCCAGGGCTGGGGGGGGGAGGAGGGGGTAAATACAGCTCTCCCTCTCCCCAGGGCTGGGGGGGGGGGGAGAGGAGGGGGTAAATACAGCCCCCCCTCCCCAGGGCTGTGTGTGTGGGGGGGGAGAGGGGGTAAATACAGCCCCCCCTCCCCAGGGCTGTGTGTGTGTGGGGGGGGGGGGGAGAGGAGGGGTAAAATCACCCCCCCAGGCTTGGTTGGGGGGGGGGGGGAGGAGGGAACATCCCCCTCCAGGGCTGGGGGGGGGTAACAGCCTCGGGCTGTGGGGTGTGGGGGGGGGAGAGGGGGTAAACACAGCCCCCCCTCCCCAGGGCTGTGTGTGTGTGTGTGGGGGTGTGTGGGGGAGATTAACCCCTCCCCCCCACTCCCCGCTGTATGACCCCAGGCCTCACCTGGCTGAGGCCGGCGCCGCCGCCGCCGCTGTGGTGGTGGTGGCGGCTGTGGCTGTGGCCGGTGTCTTGGCTCTCGTGGCCGGGCTGCGGGCGAAGGGGGAAGGGGCGGCGGTGGCGGCCCCCGGGCCGGGCGGGGGCGGGGGGCGGCTCTTGGTGCCGTTCTGCTGGGGCTGGACCCGGGGTTTCTTGGCAAGAAGCGGTCCGGGCCCCGGGTCAATACCCCACCCCCTCCCTCAATACCCACCCCCTCCCCTCAATACCCCCCACCCCCTCCCCTCAATACCCCCACCCCCTCCCCCTCAATACCCCCCACCCCCTCCCCCTCAATACCCCCCCCCCTCCCCTCAATACCCCCCACCCCCTCCCCTCAATACCCCCCCCCCTCAATACCCCCCCTCCCCTCAATACCCCCCACCCCCTCCCCCTCAATACCCCCACCCCCTCCCCTCAATACCCCCCCCCCCTCCCCTCAATACCCCCACCCCCTCCCCTCAATACCCCCCTCCCCTCCCCTCAATACCCCCCACCCCCTCCCCTCAATACCCCCACCCCCTCCCCCTCAATACCCCCCCCCCTCCCCCTCAATACCCCCCACCCCCTCCCCTCAATACCCCCCCCCTCCCCTCAATACAATACCCCCACCCCCTCCCCTCAATACCGCCACCCCCTCCCCTCAATACCCCCACCCCCTCCCTCAATACCCCCCCCCCTCCCCTCAATACCCCACCCCCTCCCTCAATACCCCCCCCCCTCCCCTCAATACCCCCCCTCCCCCCCCCCACCCCCTCCCGCACAACGTCCACTTGGCAGAGGCAGTGTTCCGGACCAGAGCCGGGGGTCCGGGATCGGGGAGGGTGGAGGGCAATGGGTGGGGTGAAAGGAAGGGGACCCGAAGGCACGGTCGAAGAGGAGGCTCTTGAGACGGGTCTTCAAGGAGGCGAGGGAGGGGGGTGTGGGGTGTGGGGGGGAGGGCGAGACGGAGGGACTGCGGGATGGAGTTCCAGAGGGCGAGCGCAGAGTGGGGTAAGGCCCACCCGCCGATGGTGGGGCGAGCGAGGCGGGGGATGTGAAGCAGGCTGGAGCCCACTGAGCGGAGGGAACGAACAGGGTGGTAAGGGGTTGGAGGTCGGAGAGGTCGGGGGGAGCGAGGCCATGGAGGGCTTTGAAGGTGAGGACCAGGATCTTGAACTGTGTCCTCTGTGTGATGGGAAGCCGGTGGAGTCGGGCGAGGATGGGGCTGATAGGGTCATCACGGAGCCCGGTGCGGGAGGGAACACGGGCCGCAGAGTCGTGGATGATCTGCAGCCTGATACCGTGTAAACCGTGTAGGCTCTAAACTTTTTTTTAAAAAAATTCCTTCCAAAAAGAAACAAAATTAAAAAAAAAACCTGTAATTTGGTCACTCGAGCCACCGCAGTTTGTGGGACACTGTTGTGCGCAGTCGGCTGTGCCATTCACCCGCTTACTCAATGGTCTTTTCTGTCGCAGATGTTCTGATCAGCCTGGCCCACTACAGCCAGGGCGGAGATGGGCCGATGTGCAGACCTGTGGTGTGCCTTCCCGAGGAAGACGCCTGCTCATTCCTGGAGCTCCGCGGCTCCCGCCACCCGTGCGTTTCCAAAACTTTTTTTGGAGACGATTTCATTCCCAACGACCTTGTCGTCGGCCGTGGGGAGAGTGAAGACGCGGAAGGCAGTGATGGCGCGGCGCAGGCTTCCTGCATGTTGGTGACCGGCCCGAACATGGGTGGCAAGTCCACTCTCATGAGACAGGTGAGAGACGTAAGGTGGTGTTTGGCACGTGTGTCCACATTAGAATACATTAGACTATACAGCACAGAAACGGGGCCATTCGGCCCAACTGGTCTATGCCGGGTGTTTATGCTCCATTATTATTATTATTAGAATTCAAGGCGGGGAAGAAAAATCTAAATGATCCAAAAGAGATGATTGCTTCGACCTTGGAACAATTCAGCCGTTGAGCGGATGTGGCATATCGACACTGCAGTAACCACGACATGGTGGGGAAGGGAGATCAAGGGTCATGTCTCACTAGATCTGCTAAATTGCTCTCCTCTTTTTAACAGGCTGGTCTCCTGGTGATCATGGCTCAGTTGGGTTGCTATGTGCCTGCTGAGAGCTGCAAGCTTACTCCGGTCGACCGAGTTTTCACACGACTGGGAGCGTCTGACAGAATTATGTCGGGTAAAAATAAACGATTTAGAACTGAAACTCTCTTTTTTTTAAAAAATCCTCTGACAATATTAATTAGAGGGGAGCAGCGTTGGCCAAAATACATTGTTGACGACAAAATACATTTACGTAATTTGATTTACGGCCTAATCGAGAAATATTCAATCAATATATTAAAAAAAACTGGAAAGGCGCTACCGTTTGAACAGACTTTACCTTAGACTTGTGCGAATGTTCAGGGGCCATTTTGGCCACCACTTGGGAGTAGAGCAAAGACAGAAGTTGGCCCTGAAGTCCTGGCCAACAATTCCCCAAACGGATTTGTCAATCACCTCGCGGTTGTTTGTGGAGCTTTGTTGGGTGCAAACCGACTGTCACCTGAGCCGACAAAAATGGTCACCGTTTGATAGCAATTACTTTTGAAGTGTTCCGGAAGAAGGCGCCGTATCAAGTGCGAGTATTTTTCTTAGCTGCTTCCGTTCGGGGTCCTGTCGCGAGATAAATTTGCATCGAAACGTTGCTCTTGTCCTCTCCAGGTGAAAGCACTTTCTTTGTGGAGCTGAGCGAGACATCCAGCATCCTGCAACATGCAACCCAGCATTCTCTGGTGCTTCTGGATGAATTGGGTATTTATGTCAGTTTTTTTTGGTGGGGGGGGGGTTTGGTTCTGATTATCTGGTCATTGTTAGCGTTGGTAGTCCCCGATTGCAGTTCAAGCCGGAGAGAGTGGTGTGTTTAAACAAGAGTCCCAGTGACGTGACAGAATTACGTCAGGTTAAAAAGATAAGGTAAGCGAAATGCCCGATCGAGGTAATGTTTTGAAATGGGTCGTACATTTTATAAAGTGACGTTTCGGCATGTTTGGTGGAAGGCACAAAACTTTAGCTAACAAAATAGTTCTCTTCCTATTGCAGCCTTTTCTGCTGGGGGGTGGGGGGGGGGAGAGGAATGTTCCCAGCTCTTTTTTTTTTTTTTTTGCAAGTTGCGGCAAGAACCCGATCGGTTGGCAGGATATCTTAGCACGGGCTGTGACCGCTGTAATTTGCTACACAGGTCGAGGCACAGCGACCTACGATGGCACGGCCATAGCTAGTGCCGTGGTTAAGGAGCTGGCTGAAAACATCAGGTGCCGCACTCTGTTTTCTACACACTACCATTCCCTGGTGGAGGATTTTTCTCACTCCAGTGCAGTCCGTTTAGGCCATATGGTAAGAGGCGCTACACAAATGCACTGCTGCTGCTGCATGACATTAAGTACACGCTAGGTCGTGTGGTCTCTCGCTGGCAAGCTTCTGGTGATCACTGAACCGGCTGCACAGAGGTTTATGAAAGAACTTGCATTACGTCGCACCTTAGCAGTTCAACGTCACTCTTAGGACTCCGTGAGAACGTAGTGTTTTCGGCCACTGCCTTATGACGAAGGATGCCGTAAAATTGGCCACTATGCGCAAGAAGCCAGCAACTGCTCGTGGGTTGATTCCAGCAGTTACCAGTCAGACCTTCTGAGGCCTCTCGGTGCGTCTGTGGGCAAACTGGAAATGTACTCCCGTTTTGAGTAAGGCACAGATCCATAGGATATCTGTGTTTCGTGAATAGCTCCCTCCTCTTCTCCACCCTTGACCATGGTCCCTCCCTTTCCTGGGTGAACCACTCATGGATAACCTGCCTTCCTGCCTCTCAGTAGTCTGGGCAGTTATCACCAACTACCACTCCCAATAGCAGTGATTAATTGGATGACATAACGATGGGGTGAGCTAAATAAATCCCTCAAGTAGTAACTGCTTTGCATGTGGAATGCATAAGGCCTAATGTGATATGCATGATTTAATAGGCTTGTATGGTTGAGAATGAGTGCGAGGATCCGAGCCAAGAAACCATCACATTCCTGTATAAGTTCATCAAAGGAGCGTGCCCTAAAAGCTATGGATTTAATGCAGCACGCCTTGCAGATATTCCCGAGGAAATCATCCAAAAGGGTCACCAGAAAGCCAAAGAGTTTGAGAAGACAACTAGCTGCCTCAGGCTTTTCAAGTGAGTATCAATCACAAACCCTAATTTACCCTGGTGGGTGGGGTTTTAATGCGTAGAGGTATGTGAGTATGTATTCCGTAGGTAGGTAGCCGGGGGTAGATGTATTTTTGTGTGTTTGCCATGTTGTATATTCAGTGGGAACATCAAATTGATGGATTGACGAGCAAATTCTGGGCGAGTCTTCCGAAAAACAATTTGCGAAACTGCTGGAGAATTATCATCAACCTCTTAATAATAATCCTTACATTTGATAGAGTGCTTTACCACGTCTCCGAGACGTCTCAAAGCGGTATTTTGGGGGTGAAAACACGGCAGCCAAATTGTGCACAGCGGTGTCCCACAAACAAGTTGTGGATTGATTTTTTTTCTCTACCTCAGTCTTAATGCTAATGCTAATTAATGCTACCTCAATCAAAATTACTTTACCATCTGACAAGTCTGTTATCCTAAAACCTGAAAACACTTCCAGCTGGAACCCTGGATGTGGAGACAGGAGTTCACCTTTTCTTGCCTTCCAGATTCTGAACTAGTCCATAGAAATATTTAGTGCCGGGGCCTGAGCGGCATTGCCTCTAATAACTCACTGAACCTAAGCTCTGTTTTTGAGGACAAACTTTTCTTTGGGAAAATTAAGTCATAGGAGTAGACCATTCAGCCCCTCGAGGCTGTTCCACCATTCTATACGGTTATAGCTGATCTGTACCTCAACTCCCAGTTACCTGCCCTTACCCCCATATCCCTCACCTAACAAATATCTATCCCTCTCAGTCTTAAATTTGAATGGATCCAGCCTTCGGGGGGGGGGAGATTTCAAGATGTGTTGAAGCCAGGATGCATTGGACATGGTAAATCTCTCCAGAAAGAGTATAATAATAATAATAAAAATACACTTAATCACAAGGAAACAGATCACATTGACTCCAGATTAAAAGCAGTAGTGTATTCAATACAAAGCTAAGTGTAGTTCTTAGTCAAGAACTAAAACAATTGGAAAAAATCTGGTGGCAGCTTTCCTGGTTCCTGGAATAATCAACTGTTTTGTCATCTTTTGAAGTCAGTAATCCATTTAACGAGTTGCACAGAGGCTGGATATATCTGAAAAGCAATAATTACAACACAAAGTGCATCTTTCCCCTCACAAACTTGTTTTTTTTTTTTTTTACACACAGGGCGGTGTGCTGTTTGGTTGGAGGCCCACAGACTGACGTGCATGCTATACAGGCAGTCCTCAAGAAGATTGCAGAGATGTGAATACATTTCTACGTGGGTGTGGTGTTCAATTCACAAAGACAGATGGTGTTTGACATTATGTTCTAATAAAGTTTATTTTAAAATGATAAGACTTTTTTCCTAGGAAATTAAACCCTTTTTATTTTGTTACCTAGCATCTACATAATGGTTATTGAATACTCCACAATATATTAAGTCTAGGATGTTATGGTACATGCATACACTTTCAAGCTGTTGATTTTACCCACTGTCACCAATACACATTAATGAAAAACTATTGAAGTGGAAGGGAACTAACTGTGTGTGAGCAGTTTCTCTGCTTCATTACAGGAAGGAAGCATTGCCAGGAAGCAGTGTCCATTAGTTACATTTCAGTAACAATATGCACAGACAGACTTTGAGACTGGATCCAACATTTTATTAATGGCTAAAATGCTGGGATTTGCAGTCAAATGTTTTTTTTTCTTACCTCCCCTCCCCCATCGTCACGAAAGAAAGCACTTAAAATTCTGATCTCTGGAAATAACTTTTCAAAAAGAACATTGCTTTATGTTCTGTTGGTTAAATCAGAATAGTTAATGGGGTACAATTGATTAGTGTTTTTCCTCTTTCATAGAAAGAACTTAAGATACTGGGACACGAGCATAGTTACAGCAAGTCTAGTTCTGCTAACAAAACAGGACACATTCAAGTACAATAAGTTTTTGCTTGAAATTACAAAAAAAAGCTACATGGGAAAGCATTAAAATCAGTTGTCTCCATTGAATAAATGTTTTTTTAAAAAAAAATCAAAACAAATGCAGAAGTGCTAGATCACATTTTCATACATACACCAACCCAATCAGTACCCCCTGTCCATAGGTGAAGCAGAACTCCCTGGGGCTCTGCACTGCTGTGTGCTGTTTGCAGAACAGTCCTCTTGCAATCTCTCTCCGCTGTGGTTTTAACGCTACCTGTCCCCGAAAAATAACAGCTTCACAAGCCGGCTTTTATACAAAACCACAGTGCGCGAGCCTCTGTTCCTTGGATAGTCGGTCAGTTCACTGTGGTTGCCTTGTCCATAGTAATGCTATTGATGCCCAGCCTTCTTTGTCCTGAGTAAGCACATTGCTCTGTTCCTTTGTTGACCGAGAACCCGCCGGTGAGGTTGGGTTCCGGTGTCGTCCGCATGTGTGTACAACTGCTGCACAATTTACACTTTCAACAACTTCCTGAAGATTTGGGCAAACTGTATCTTTTTTTTTTCCCCCTCCCCTAGTTTTTTTTTACACAAACAGGATAAAATGGCAGGATATACTGAAGCTCAGTTGTGTTGTAACGTATTGGACTCTATAGGTGGGGCAGAGTCGTACAGAGTGTCTGTATCGTGCGTAGGTTCTCCAGCTAATGTGCAAGGGTTTGAAAGCGTTCCAGCACCACAGTCACAGAAAAATCTGTAGAAGGGGGGGAAACAAAAATGGGTTTTGAAGCTTTAAGACATTGTACACTATTAAAGCAACAACAGAGATGCAATGTTCACAAAACATTAATTCTGCAACAGTAAACTGCATTGATACCGTGCCCTTCACATCAGAAGGATGTCCCATGGTGCTCATTCTGTACTTGGGTAATCCTAGTGTTGACAAGAGCAACATAGCTCTTGTATTAGCTTTACTTGGTGCATTCTCAACCCCAACTAATTGAAATTTCAGAGAGCCTACAGCTTGGGGAGGGAATGGGGTGCAACAACTTCCGAGTCCAATAGCGGATTCAGACAGTGAGCAAGGAAAACCGAATGCGCCGTTCCATCTCATCACCCTTACGTGTTAATGCTTTGTTCGTGTTTATCATGTAACACATTGGTCAACTGAAAGAGCAATGCTTCTGCTTCTGAAGCAACAAACTCCAGGGGACAGCAATATTCTTGATGCAGCTGAGTGCTCACCAATCCTGAACAACCCTTCCCATCGATCGGTACCTCTAGATCAGCTACCGTCATCCCAAGGGACAGCCGGGAGCGGCCTAGTGTAGGATGAGGCAGAATCTAAGTGTGATGCTGCCAGTAACTCGCATTTTGAAACAAAAATTCTGGTGGAATTGCGTTGAATCAAAGATCTCCTTTTACATAGCAGGAATGCGTTTTAAGATTGTACAGAAATGATCAGTGCAGTATTGACACCAGGATTTCAGATGAGAAGGGAAGACCACTGAGTTATATCAAATAATACATAGTACAGATAGGGTACTGCTTCAGATCAAATCGAGACAATAGGGAGCAGATTTAAAATAAAGTTTTGATGGACAGTTCACAACAATACAGAGTTATTTTTCAAACAGTCGAAGCAGTAGAAACACTTATGGGTAAGAGAGGATCGTAAATGGAGAAGCTTTGCTAGACGATTGGGCTTTTTGCGTCCTTGACTATTTTGACTATCACACTCCTTGTATCAAATAAAATTCAGGCCCTGCACTTCTTTGTAAAATAAAGCTAAAAGTAAGATCCACGTCTGTGAATAAATTACTACTATATACAGGTACAATCCTCAAAGCAATACGTGACCACAGGAAATTTGATTGGTATATACTGACCTATCATGTCTAATGAATTCCACATCATGTCCTTGATGGCACTTCTTGATGCAGTTTACACAGATTGCATTGCGGTCTGTTGTGTTACAGGTGTGACACCTGTGGGGGAACGAGCGAAACTTGAGGTGCAAAGTTTAAACGGCAAAAAAACACGTTTCACTCTTGGTGGAAAAATAAACGACATGCAAGGACTACGAAAATTACCTGTAAAAGTCATGCATTGGATAGCTGGTGTAACTTGATATCTTGTACAGGCACTGGCCCCTAATAACAGCCTTTTCAATAGCATCTTGATTGTTCATTATTTTGTTGTCTTAAAAGAAGAAAAAAGGCAGTCATGTTTATATGACAGATCTGGTGGCTAACACAGCTTCTCAGTAAAGTGATATCGTTTCCCTCTTTCCCCAATTCAAGAGTAAGCAAGAACTTCCATCATGTAAAATCGTTGACTTTTCTGTGAAACAAAGTGTTCCCTACCCGAGCACTAAATCTGAACTCAACTGGTGGAGTCATTACTAAAAATGCCTTTGATGCTTCATTGGCTGGTGTTAAGAGCGCTCGGGCTACAACAATACAAGACACAATGGAGGTGAGTACCTGGAAGTCAAATCCAACAGCTATTCCTCAGTGAGTGCTGGGACTGATTCCCAAACCACCACGACCATGACCTGGCAAACACAACTAATTTATAGGTGAGTTAATGTGACCAGCCTTCAGTTCCAATTCACTACACGGGCCCTGTACAGAACGGTAAAAATCCAGGTGAGCGACTGGGAACTGAAGAGATGAAATGGTACGTCCTGGATTCATCTGTCCAGCAGTTGTTAAGGTGAAGGCGGCGGCTTCTCCAACCTTCTCAGACCCTGTTCTGGGAGGTTTTTAAATCTTGGGCTAAAATAGCAAACGCTGCTAAAATTACTCAAAGACGCCCCTAATAAACTCCTGGAATGTTGTCAGTGGAGCAGGAGAGGTACCCAAACGTCCTTCCTCTATTTTTTGACCAATTGCTGATCTCCCATAGACTCCTCAATAGCTATGTCAGGTCAAGCACAAGTATTGGATTCAACATAGCAGATATTCAATATTAATTACATCAAACGTACCCAGATTTTCTACACAGAAACAACCTCCCACCATTCTGAACAGCAACATCCATAAATCTAGGTCTGGTGGTAAGCAAGATATCCCACCCCTCCATCACAACAAACCTCTAGAGTGGGGGAGATCCTGCTAACCAAAGCCCAATGTTTCAGGTTTGGCTCCAGATATTGCCAAAGAGAATAAGGGAGTGGGATTACTACATTCAATGTGAGAAACTGACCCCATCACAAATAACACCCAACTGGAACAGCTACCAGAGAGAATAGAAAACAAGAGGGCCAGAAACAGCAGGTGCACAAGACTGTAGGGAACCCAAAGGATAGAGGAAAGAGTAAATCACACTAGTAATATACACACACATTATATAAAGACAGTTTATTTAAGAGAAAATTTATTATATTATTAATTTGTTCCCTTCTTGTGCCACACACATGGAACCCCGAAACAAAGCACCTGCCTGTCGCTTGAGACACCCCCACCACCACCACAGTTCCACTAAACCTCTACAACAGGTTAAAACAATAGGGAAGAACCGGATTGGTATATTCAACAATTAAAAAGCCACGCACAGAGCAAAAGCGACCGACAGCCAATGGTGCTTTGCCCTCTCGTTAGTTGCTCTGAGATGTCCTACGCGACGGGTGCTATGTAAATTGTTGTTCTTGTCGTCCTAAAGAAGCTAAAGCTCATTGCAGCCTCAACACATTCATACCCTCAATATTTTAACATTCTGACTCTACTACTACTACTGTAATGTGGCATAATCACAACACAAAGTGCAGCATTGTTCCACATCATATCAATAGCTTTATGTTCTCAGGTACACTGCATAAAACTGAAACATTTGCACTTCCAGACATTTGCTGTGCTTAATTAACGTGGGGCTGCACTGAACTGAACTCAATGACCGTGTAATCTATCTATGTTACGATAAAGCGATCAGATGTCTCAGCCATTCCTTGATCCCGTGTATTAGGTTTTAAAGAAATAAGTCAGAGGCAGCCAGGAAACAGACAATTTGTGTAGATCATGTCTTAACCAACATATGAAATCCCAGTCTAGTGACACTGTGAATGGGTGACAATGGTTGTGGGATATGTTGCCTATTCAAGACACTGAAGGTGGAACTTCAGGAAGTCACTGCATGGTTGATTGTACACAGGAAGTCCATTCCCGAGGCTGCTTCTGACCAGCAGCTGTGAAGCATAAATAAGCAACAAAGAAGAGGCAACAGTAAGTGTACAGATATCTCCCTTTAAGATTTAGGATTATATTCAGATAGCTAGAGCATGCAAAATGAAAGTTAGGCGGGGTTAACAAAGAGCTCCTTCTTTATAATATACCCTGGGTGTTATTTTATCATTGCTTTGAAACAAACAACTTTTTCACAAGCAGGGCTTAACGATAAAATATGTGTGTACCTTTCATTGACACGTTAACGCCAGATGCTAGGAACAACCCTCCAAACCGATTGTTGAAAATCTGATTGCCTTCTAGAGTGGCAGTAGCATGGTTTGTTATCTCAATACCTGTGGAAGAAAAGCAACAATTATATAGCAGCCACTGCAGAGAGACAACCTAATGACGCAATGTTCAGGTCCTCACCTAAGCAAGTTCAGCAGCTGTATGTGTTGCTGCACGTTAGACCCTAGGTTAAACACTGAACCAATATATCTCCTAGAACTGTAGGCTTTCATAGAATATTTCAGCACAGAAACAGATCTAAAATCTATCCACTTTGCTAAAGATCAAACCACCATTCCAGGACCTGTTGTTCAGTTAAAGCAGTTTGTAATTGTGTGTTGGAGTCCAGGATTAGGAGGATTAAAGTACCCAGGTTTCCCTTAGCAGCCTATACAAGCAAACGTGTCCTGTTTGTGTCACGAAAGAGTACAGAACTGAGAGTGAAAGAATAAAGGATGTCATTGTTATCACTTGTACTCACAAGATCCAAATCGAGCCAGCTCAGCCCAGATGGGGATACACATCTTTGTTGGGGACAGGTTCCAGTTACCTCTTGTAACCATTGCATTAAGCCACCTAATACCTTTCATGTCTTGTTACTTTACCTGGTCTGGCAGGCATTTAAAAGTAGATACCTTCCACTTATGTGACATTTCTCTGTGTACATTCAGAAAGGGAAACAAAAGAGCGCTGCTAACAAGATGATGCAGATCTGTTCTGTGGAACTATGTGGAACACTAGTTTTCCTTTGCACAAGAATCCGACCAGGTTGAAACACAGCATTGAGCTTTCCTTTATCTGAGGCCAACTGCTGGTTAACAATCTACAACACATTTGGTCACATTATAGAACTAAGAATGATGGCAAATTTTAATATTCTTGAATCATAATCCTCATGTTACCTTTACACACAGATGGCGAGTGAAAATATTCTTGGGGGAGGGGCATCTGGTAAAACTCAGATCAAGGGTTGGCCCCCTTTAAGATAAGTGAGTCATTGGTTTGACTGATAGGACCAGACTGGAAGCGGGCACCGACGACGAGTTGGGAGAGGGGCAAGAGCCACCCAAGGGTGCCGCGGGTTGGGGCTGCTCGGAGGACTGGCTGTGGTTCTCCTCAAGTCGTTCCCCTCCCGGCTCTCCTAAATGAGGTGAGTTGCAGATAGAATGGAGAGGGTGTGAACCCCTCGAGCCCTAGCCACCCGCTGACTATGCTTCCACACGTGAATTCAAAAACCACAGACCTGCTGCAAACCCATCAAATATCCTGTTCTTCCGCAACACTGGGTGGCTGTTAGTGCTAATCAGGACACCGGCCTGGGCATTCCTGAAGATATCGTTTTCTTCAAGGAGTCCTACAACAAAGGATAAAGTGGTGAAGACATGCCAATATCTAAAGATAATCCCAACATCGATTTACATTAACGCGCAAAGGGGAAATTAGGAGGATTTTTAATGCAGAGATGTTAGGATGTGGGATGCCCTACTGGATGTGTGGTGATCAAAGCAGAATCCACGTTAGCTTTCAAGAGGGAACTAGACAAATATCTGAAAAGGAATAATCCGCAGAGGTAAATGAATAAGGCAGCTAAATGGGACAGAACACATATTTTCAAAGCGCCAGCACAGCCACGATTTGCCGAATAGCCTCCTGTGCTGTAAATTTCTGTGGCTTTCTATCGACCTTCCTATCCTAAGTAAGCAGGTTCAGAAATACACTTGTTACTAACATCACATATCTTTTACTTGCATTCTACAATAAGCAAGGCAGGTTCCTCATATAGGGTCTGGGAAAAAAGTTGGGCAATTACTTAAAACAAAGGTCTCAACTTCAGTCACCTCAGTGACAATCAGCTGGAGATACAGCGGTTAACCCAGTAGCATTCTGTTCGCAGGAATGCCAAGAAGCAATCAATATTGACTGCTGTAGCGTCTTGGTTAGAGCACTCGCCTCGCAAGCAAGCGGACCTGGGTTCGATTCCCGGGAAGACATGATAAGCTACTATATCAAATACAAGGATTAGTATTATTAATCTGCGTAAGAAAAGAGTGTAAAGCTGGAACAATAAAGGGACAATTTAGCTACTGATACTAGTCAGGGTTTATTACCCAAAAGAACACAAGGTAAAAGCATGGAATGAACAAATGTGCTCATCAACTTATTCCTTCCACAAACATGTCCAATTCTGTACACTGACATCCATTTTATCTCTTGAGGAAAACATTCTCCAACCTCTGTCCTTACCTTTTCATCTACTGCCCCACAATTCACGATTCATTGGATTTAATACAGCATTTGAGTAGTTCAGTTTGTGCTTTTCCTTATACCAATCCTGTTTCTAACCCTTTTTCCCCAACCACATCTCCAAAGCAGTTAATTCATCCACAGCATCAACTTTCAGATGGAGTTAGTAACCTGATAAATCGTATAAAAGAAGCCTCACATGTGAAAATATCAGCATCTCTCATCCAAGCACATCACTGATGTTTATCATTCCCATCACACACAAATCCTCCTTACACAAAATATGCAGTTAATTCATCTTACAGTATATTCTGTGAAATGCTTTGAGACACCTCGAAAACGTGATAAGGAGTTATGTCAAATGCAATGATTATTATTAAATCCTGATCCAAGAGACTAAGGACATAAAACATGTAGAGTTATAAATCCTTACCCCGGCCTCCATTAAATATGCAGATCCCCCCATCTCGTCCATCGTGGATTTTGTTCCGTCGGAGTGTGGGATTGCTGTCTGTTTTGATCCAGACACCTGCCATCGCGTTGTCAAATATTTCATTATCTTCTATAAAGCCTAGACCTGAAATGATCGATGAGAGAAAAGCATTTGACAGAATTCTCAAACTGAAGGAGAAATCAACCCCTCTTCCTCTTCACCGACAAATGAGAATTAAAAGGATTGCAACCACTTACCGGAATTGTAAACCAGAATGCCGCCATTCTGCCCTCCCCATATTTTATTGCGTCGAATTTTGGGGTTGCTTCCAGTTCTGGGAATTAAAAATCAGTAAGACAGACGTTGTACTAGAAAAGCTTCACAAGGAAGTAAATGAGCAAACAGTTCGCCATTTTGTAATTATAAGCCAAATGCTACGAGTTACATATTATCTATATAAATCCACAAAGATAGTGAATCCACTTTATAGTTGATCCGGTAAAGCATTCCGAGAGGTCCTCTCAACGTGAAACGTGCTATATCAAATGTAAGGATTATTATTAAACTTCTTTTGTAGAAAGGGACCAGGTTCCCTCATCACAAAGTTCAAAACATAGAATATGAAAATTCAATAAAACCAGCAGAATGTTTTACCGAGACAAAATTATTCCTTGCATTTGGTAGAACACTTTTCACGTCAGGACTACGTCCCAAAGCGTTCACAGGATATATTCTAAAGTGGAGTGACTCTGTATTTTGTAGGCAAATAATGATTAACCTTTTAAAACTCAAAAATAACTTCGTGCCTCTACTATTGGCTCAGGATATTTGTGCCACACTCCCATTGCACTTGAACTCCCTTAACAGAATGAGGAACCGCTTCGTGTATTAGTTCTTTACAATGAAGTTTAAAATTACTGTACACTATAATAAATCCAAAAAACATCACATCATACACGTATTCCTCAAAAACTATAACAGAATGAAACCATGATTAACAGCTACCCTTGAGGGACCTTCACATTGGTCATTCAAATTCACTGGCCACAAACATGATCTTAAATCTGAAGCTGATCTGTGGCCAAGTTTCTACCAATGCAACACTGACATGTATGAGAAATATAAGCCTTGAATTAACCTAGTCTATTCTCTCTTCCTTTCCTTTCCTGAGACCCAGCCTCCGCTCAGTGTAGTGTGTGCTTACAGTGTTGGATAATGCCCCACACTTTACATCAGTTGTAAATACTTTCTTGTCTTTTATTTTTCTTCTTTCAGCTCACTTTCACAGGCTCTCATAACCTTTACAGAGCAATTTCAATACTTATAAAGCATGGAAGGTCAAAATTCCTGAGCTATTGCATAGGAGAGGAACCTCCACTGGAGTTCTTTATAAGACCATTTGGTGTCACTGCAGTAACTGCATTCACTTGATCTGCAGTTCCGTACTGCAATAGCAATGAAACCGCAGGGACAGAGTCTTATCATTTTTATATTTAGCACTCAGGGCACTGTCCAGAATCAGCACATGTAAACTTCACAGATTTGGAGTGCTCGTTGTAGAGTAATGTCTGTTGTCAGAGGATACCGGGAACATTCAGTCCTCATCCAGACCATTATTTTAAACGTTAGATTTGATATCTCAGTAATTAAAGAAAGGTCAGCGTCCGTGACTGTTTTAGAAATGGAAAAATCAGATCCCAAAAATACGTGAACAAGGCGAACATCAAAGTTTTTTTCTCCCCTCCACTGCGTTCGGTTACTTTTGGTGTTGAGAAATTTTAATGTTAAAAATTGAGCATGTTCTACCAGTACCAGAGGATCCAGTTGAAATACTCCCAGTGGAAATCCCTACAGCTGTTAAATGTGCTTCCTATCATCGTCAGGTTCACTAAACTAGTTCTTTTAAACTAAAACATTCACGTCAAACAGACGCCTGACTGAAGAGAAATCATAACGGTAATAGCTATCTTTGCAAATTCACTGCTTACCTGATCTGAACCCCTGAGTACATGTGATTGTAGATATCATTGTCTTCAAGCACTCCGTGGCCATTGTCATAAAAGTAAACACCCACCTTTGAAAATAAGCAATTACCACGTTATACTGTTATATCAAGAACCACACGACTTTAATCAGAGATTCAAGAAAATCAGCTTCTTACTTGTTTCCCACTATGTATTCGGTTTCTCCGTAGCACTGGCGTACTTCCTGTCGTAACCCACACACCTGCCAAGGTGTTGCTATACACCTCATTCTCCTCAATTACACCTTGTCCCTTTTCATGCTGAATACGAAGACACACAAGTTAATGATTTTAAACATTAGACATCAAGACGGATTTGTTTTTTTACTAAAACGCCAGCAATTTAAACAAATTTGTGGTGTGGTATGAAGCGTTTGCAATTTTAACCTATAATGAATTCTACATTCATTCCTTTTTCCCAAGCTGGGGCTCATCAGCAGGACATGGAAGGGCAGACTAGATACTGGGGGGTAGGTTCCCCTCTCACTCAACTCCTGTTAACCCTGCAAGCCAAAGCCCTAAGGTAGGCTGGTCCTCGCTGGATAAGCAGTGGGAAAGCTCGCAGGTAGACTATGCAGTTTTAGCTGGTTAGACTCCAGGGGTATCCTAACGCACACTCGAGGCTCCCCAAGCCTTGGCTCTGGCCAACCTGCACCGAATGCTATCCTCCAGGGAGAGACTGTGTATTCGATTCCATCTAATAACCAAATCCTGGAATTTTCACGTATAGGTGGGAGACATGGAACTCAGTTTGGTTTTGAATACTCTTAAGCATAGCGATGGGTTTCCATATGGATCAGACACACCTGGCTGACCCCCAAAAAAAATCTCTCCCCAAAACACGCATACAACAGACTTACCACATAAATACCTCCATGTTGCCCATCATGAATCTTATTATGGCGAACAATTGGACAACTATTTGTTCGAATCTGTATCCCAGCTAATGCATTTCCTATATTATTAAAAAGGATATGAATGATATAACTTGCAAAATTCAAATGTAAAGTTTCTTTTTTAAAAATCATCATATACGTAATTCACAATCTCACCGTAAATGTCATTTCCCTCTATAAGGCCCCTTCCATCTCCGAAGATGTATACCCCTCCCTGATTGCCATTAAAAATAGCATTTCCCCTATAAAAAAAAATCGAAAAGCATATTAACACAGCAAGAAGAAATATTTCAACACATTAAGTAATAACCGTTGCATTTATTATTATATTTATATTATTATAATATATTTATAATTATTATAATTAAAAATATTTATTATTATAATAGCCCGTTCCCTCCGCTGACGTCCCCTGACCCATTGGCGTTAGAGTCTTCAGCCACTCTGCCCCCAACCTCTGGAATTCCATCCCCCAATCACTCCGCCTCACCCCCTCCTTTGCCTCCTTCAAGTCCCGCCTCAAGACCCTCCTCTTCGACCATGCCATCGGCCATCCCCCTTCCCCTCCCCTCCCCCCCCAACCCCAGCTCGGGTCTGAAATGCTGTACTCTGTCCAGCGCCTTGGGAGGTCCTCCCGATGTGAAAGACGCTGTACAAATGTCACCTTGCTGCTGCTGTTGCATTTGATACATCGCCTTATCACATCTTCGAATCATCTCAAAGTGTTTCACAGAATATACTGCAAAGTAAATTGATGGTGTCTTTTGTGGGTGAAACACAGCAGCCAATTGAGCACTGCAGTGTCTCACAAAAGTTGTGTATTGAGTGACCAAATCATTATTATTAGTTGATGGGATTATTTTCCCCAGAAAAGCAATCCACCAATCAACTAACAACTGGGTTCCTATTTACTGCTCGGTAAACAGAGGCGGGTGGAGTAAAAAAAACTTGCCCGATGCTTTGCCCTGCCCAGGAATCAAACCCAGGTCCTCTTGTTTGTGACTAGACCTGGGAAGGGTGTAGCCACTAAGCGACAGGACTCCCTGGCATTAATATAGCGAGAAGAAATATTGAAACAGGTTAAGTGTAACTTTACTCCCCAAAACGTACCTAATCGTTGGATCACTGTTTGACGTAATCCACACACCAGCGAAGTTGTTTGCATAGATTTTGTTCTCTATGAACTGGCCTCGTCCTTTTTCATGTACATAGATTCCTCCAGTCTGTCCGTGGTGAATTTCACATCTAACCACTGTAGGGTTTGCATAAGCTTTCACTTCAAAGCCAGCTATCCGGTTACGATGGATATTGCAGCTTTCAAAGTAACCCTGTAAAGAAACCAAGATGACGCAATGATCATGGGCAGCAATTATTTTGAGTTCATATACAGGAATGTAAGATCTGAACAAGGTATGCTACCAACCAGCAACAGTGCAAAGGACAAAAAGATTTACTCCATGCCCTCCTTCTTTCCCACACATCCATCGCGATGTATGCAAAACTTTTCAAGGTCAGAGACAGGGGAACACTCAGGGAGAGTATAAGAAATATTTGCAGTTGATGTATCTTTCCTTTCCCTCCTCAACTACAAATAAAAGATTAGTTATTTCATATTTCCCAGTCATAAAATGCCTCATCCTAACGATGCATCTCACAAGCCTGCCCTCAAATCAGCTGCAAGTACAGCTACACCCTTCCCAGGCCGAGATGCTGGTCCACTATCACCATAACAAGTCCTAGTGGGCGGTCGGACCTTCAGCCTCTTTGCCCCTACCCTTTGGAACTCCATTCCACAGTCCCTTCGCCTCACCCCTTCCTTGCCAACTTCAAGGCATGTCTCAAGACCCTCCTCTTCGACTGCGCCTTCAGCCACCCTCTTACCCCTTCCCTCACTGTCCTCGACACCTCCCGATCTCAACCCCCTGCTCGGGTCCAAATCCCTGACCGTCCGTCGCCATGGGACGTCCTCCTGACGTGAAAGGCACTGTACGAATGTAATTTTGTTTTGTTTATTTTTGAAGGATACTTTCCAGCCAGGAAAGCAAAATTTGGAGGTCTTTGACGGATGGAGTTTGACCAATGTAAATTTGAGAGATATTTTAAAATCACTGTCTCAGAGAAAAAGGAGAAGAAAGGCAGAGTGTTGCCATTTTATATGCAATTGAATCCAGATAAGCATACGAAAGAAAATCTAAGCCGCTTTCATTACATTTCAGAGTAAATCACACCTCAAACTCGTTTGTATTGTTATGCTGCCAGTCATATGACCACCTCTACACTCCCAAATCATTTATCCGTTGTAGCCACATCCACCGCGTGTTCAATGCGAATGGCCGAAAATTATATGATTAAATAAGAGCATTCCACTACCACTGTAATTACAGATTGTTATATCATACAGTATTTTATCACATCTTCGAGACTTCTCAAAGCGCTTCACAGAATATACTGTAAAGTGAAATGATTGTATATTTTGTTGTCGAAACGCGGCAGCCAATTGCACACAGCAGCGTCCCCACAAACAGTCGTGGATTGAAGTGACCGATTTATTATTATTATTTTAATAATACCCCCAGAAAAGCGATCCACCAATCGACCAACAACCGATCAGGAACCTACTTACTGCGAGGCAAACAGAGGCGTGTGGAGTAAAGAAAGTTGCCCAACGTTTTGCCCTGCTAGGAATTGAACTCCGGTCTCCCACTTGTGAGGCGAGTGCTCTAACCCCTGAACAACAGGACTCCACTAAGAATTCCATTCCATATAAGATAGGGATCTGCCTGAAGCCCACCTCGCATCAAAACCAGACATAGGGCAAAAACACTGCAACAAACCCTGTATACGACAGCAGCACAAGCAACAAAGAGAGGATAACAGGCAGTGAAAGATTTCCATCCGGCAATGTACATCATCTTCTTGGCGTAATAAAGCGAAAGGCGCATCAGTTTCTGCTGGTGTAGCACAGAAATGATGGCGTCTTGCTGATTGCAGACAGCAAGATGAAAGATTCTTCTCGATTGCAGATCAAGCAAGTCATCTAAGAACAATCTACTCAATCTTTCTATTATTATATAAATGTTTTGTTTACAACTCTGTGTGTGTGTGTGTGGTAAGCAGGGGGAGGTGGGTGTGAGAGGGTGGTGGTGGAAAGAAGAGGTAAAGGGCACTGTCTTGGTGGTCACTCTAAATGCCAAAAAGATATGTTGTTGAGCACAGAAAAGTTTACGCTTTGTTTTAATGTTAGATTTGGGAGCTAAATATATAGATACTCAATAAGTTGTAAAAATTCTAAAGCATAAATAATTCATTGTAGGGCTAAAATATGCTCTTGTACATCACAAACCCTTTATGTCCCATTTGATAACCATAGAGGACAATCAAAATGGTGAACAGTCATAAACGTCTGTTAAAGCACAACAGCATTTAAAAGCATCAAAAACATTTATCCATAACTGGATAAATAATTGGAAAATACTCGATGGAAAGAAATATTGAATATTATGGTGGTGTGAGGGGGTGGGTGGGTGGGGGGGGGGGAAGGGTAGAATGGGATTACAGCAACTAGCTCCGGACACACCGGGCTGAACAGTCTCTTTCAGTGTGGGATTCATTCAATATGATTGCAAAACTTTTAAGGGTAAAAATTTTGGAAAATTGTTCCTAAGTTGCGATCATCAGAATCTTTTAAAAAAAACGGTTATAGAAATTATATTCCGTTTATAGTAGAACACGGTTCAAAAAAAACTCATATTTGTGACAGGTATTCTCACCTCGGGAGCATCAATCACCCTTTATTTTCTGACTACGGGACAAGTAACTGCGGTGGCAATGAATGCGAGGCCAATGGCAACCAAGAAACATGGCCATTTCCACCCCACCCTCTTCTCCCTTACGCTGCAACTGAACCAGGTTTTTAAGTCCACTTACCATGACTGTGGCTCCTGTACCAAACTTTATATCTGGGGGGATAAAAAGTACAAAAAAAAGTTTTAAAAAAAGGTGCATGCACAGTTTTTTTAAAAACTTTTTTTTTAATACTTTTTACTTCTCCACCCCACCCCCCCCTCACTGATTTAAACACCGTGTTGGCAGGTGGTCTTAAAACCACTTCAATTGTGGTACGTGGAAGAATTGGGGAGGTAGTGCTGCCGGTCGGTGGCAGCTGGGTTTCTGTCGTTCAGTGCTGCTTTTCTCTCCCTCCCGCGCCTGAATGAAATACTGCCAACGCACCATTCCGCACAACAACAATAATAATCCTTGCATTTGGTACGTCTTCAGAATATACTGTAAAGTGAATTGACTGTATACTTTGTGGGCGAAACGCAGCAGATCAAGTAAAATATATATTTTTTTAAAAAAACTTTCATTTTAATTTCAATTCACAGTATTTTCTGTAAGTGCTTTTGAGATGTCTCCAAGACGTGGTAAGGCGTTATATCCAATGCAAGAATTATTATTATTCTAAATACTTCATCAGGATCTACTTGGGCATCGCTTTGATTTTGATTTTAAAAGATAAACGATTTAAAAGCTTTAATGTAAACATTGGTGTTCCTACTTCTGGTGATTTTTTAAAAATAGTTTCACTAACAATCAGCAGTCACTAAGCTTAAAAATCACAACCTACAAACAGTTTATTCAGTTCTTGTATCTACAAAATCTAATTTATTGCCAGGATTCAGGATGTACGCGTAATTCATTATTTTAAAAAAAATCGACTGAAGTAAGAACACTAATGTTACACTAATGTTTTTCTTTTTAAAAAAGTGGCTTGGTTTGGGGGTGTCCCCAGTGGAGCATATTTGTGCTGTTGAGGGAAACAGACCTAGATATTGGCTGATCAATTTTTGCAAAATGGTTACGTGGAAGTCATAAAATAATGAATATGGTCAATGTCTCCCCTTCTGCAATTAAAGGAAGAAAAATTGTCAAACCTAACCACACTTATAATAATCCTATTTGCTTTTCCTTATAGCTCTCGAGTAGGTTGCCTACTACGCTCTTAGCCAGTAATAGTATAATAATCCTTGCATGTAATATAGTGCCTGATCACGTCTTTGAGACGTCTCAAAGCGCTTAACAGAATATACTGTAAAGTGAACTGACTGTATGTTTTGTGGGCACTTCAGACTGAACAAAATCTAATAACCAAGTTAATTTCAATTGTACTGTACACACCAGAGTCTTTCATAATATAGTTCTGCAGCCATTTTGCCCTCGACAGAACTCGCCACACATTTCAGTTTCAGCACTGCTCTTTTATCTTTCTCTAATATGNAAAAAAATACAAAATACCTATCCCAGCATCTAAACAGTGAGTAAATTTGTTATGTTAAAATTATAGAGCGTAAAGTTTAGGACATGTAGCCCTCGCACTCCTCCAGTGTTTGGACTGGGCTGCTAAAGCTGTCTACAATAATATGATTAAAATCAGCTCACTGTGGGAAATCAGCGGCACCAAGCCACATGTTATCCTGTTGTACAGTATGTTATAGCTCTCATGGGACTGGGCCTCCAGCAAGATACAGCTTTGGATTGCAATGCTTAATAAAAAATGTCTTGAATTAACACTGGAATATGCTATTACCCGATTCCAGAGATAAGAACACTTTGGCACATGGAGGAGAGAAGGCATGGAAGAGGGAAGAGAGAAAAGTGAGGAGGTTGTGTGTATGTGTGTGTGTGTGTTCATAACTTCTGGTATTGCACCTTATTTTCAACTCTTTAACAGAATGAAGGTATCTAAAATACCACCCAAGTGAATTCCAGCTCCATCTTTCTGATCATCCATTGATCTATCCCCAAATGTACCCCTTTTAAAATGATTCATAAACTCTAAATGAAATCTGAAGAACCAGCTTCATACAAGCGAATAGGGACTGAAAACAATGGGATGGGACAACTTACATCTATTCTCTTCATTAACAACATCTGAATTTTCACAAATACTGATCCCATTACAAGCCTAATGCCCTCTGCTTTCCTGGCTGCAAAAGCAAACCTTTTGACTGTTCAAGCTCTGACACGACAGCAAGACATGCAACAAACACTACTGCCAACGTGGCTCTCAAAACACGCCATTGGGAGGTGCATCAGACACTCCCCAGTTCCGATGCGTCTCAACTGTGTTCAACATCTTCCCGGTAACTCAGGCTTTCTAAGATCAGAAACCGGGTATGTTGGTAGGACCTTGTTGAACGAGACTGTGGCCATCACCCCATTCATCAAACCATTAATAATAGTAAAGATTACCATGCCGTGATCAAATGTGAAAACTCCTACGTCACGCCCGTGGTGAATGTGATTTCTCCTGATGATGGGGTTCCCGTGGTTCTTCACCCAGATTCCAGCAAGAGCATTGTTTGAAATCTCGTTGTCCTCATAAATTCCCTGAAGAACAAAAAGGTTGCACCAAACGTTTGCAAAAAGCAAGATTTGTTTATTTTTTCAAAAATAATCTCTGATGAATTTCAGCCAATGCTTGAATAACGGTACCTGTGCATGATCCGTTATATACAATCCAACATTTTCACAATCACTAATGTTGCAGTGCTTTATGGTGGGGCAAGCACCTTGGCCACTGACACAAACAGCAGAGCCAACTGTAACACAAAGAATATTTTCACAAATTGATCACCTCAACGGGAACTTGTCACTTCTAAAATATAAAAGTGTCTTATTATCTCTGCCTGTCTTCTCGGTTTTCTGCTTGCAATTGATATAGCGCCTTATCACGTCTTCGAGACGTCTCCAAAGCGCTTCACAGGATACACTGCAAAGTGGAGTGACTGTATGTTTTGTGGGAGAAACGCAGCAGCAAATTGCGCACAGCAACATCCTACGAACAGTCGTGGATTTCCAAGTGCTTGGAATAAATTTATGTATTTAGAGCCCCTGCCTCAGTTGATAAAGCCATTGTCCAGTATACCACTCAGACCTAGAAATTGCTGAGGGATAATGGCTTATACCAGCCATTTGGTATAAATTAGTGTTGGGATAAACACGTAAGGAACAAAATTCCTTTCCGGGTTTTAAATTAAATTAAAGTGCCTTACATGTAGAAACTGAGTATGAACAGTGAAAATCCCAATTCATTCCACTCATTTCATAATTTGTTCTTGCATTTTTTAAAAAAAACGTCAACTCAAAAAAACACGAGTCTTTACCAAGTCAAGTGATACCAAATTTTACAAAGAAATTTTTAAAAATCATAACCTATCCATAATCGAGCCGAGGTAATATACAATATTAATCTCAACAGTATGCAACCTGCTACAATTACTACTAATGGGTAACACTTTCAGTATTAACACTGACCTGTGCATGAACTGCGAATTATACAATGATCTATAATGGGACTGCAGTTCACTGTGATCTCCAAGCAGTGGTGTGCATTATGGTGCTGGGCTGATTTATCATCAGGATTAAACTAAAGGTAAGAAGTAAATAGGCGTTAAGTTTCTTTTTTGTATTCGCATAGATGAACAGCTCTAGTACACGACTCCAAGTGCAGCCACTTTTACAACGTACCCTAATTGTCATATATCCGACATAGGCATCTTCAGAGCCCTCCATGAATACAAAGGTCGAGTCCCTCGTGTTTTCAATGAGGACTTTATCAGCTACTTTACCTGGGGCTGTAAAATGCAATGGACAAGTGAATTACAGTATGAATACTTGAAAGCCTAACCAATTTAAGAATGCATTCTCAGAACATTTTTTTTGAACAAACCGTGCGGATTTATTTTTTTGCCAAGTCAGAGCTAATTCATAGATTCAAAAGCACGTGCCTTTTTAAACCTGGTAAAAATGCAAGTCACAACATCTCTTGTAAAACTATTTGCTTTTCCTTATAGCTCGAATAGGTTGCCTGCTACGCTCTTAGCCAGTAATAGTATAATAATCCTTGCATTTGGTATAGCACCTTATCACGTCTCAAAGCGCTTCACAGAACATACTAGAATTTTTGTGGGTGAAACGTGGCAGACAATTGTGCACAGCAGTGTCTCACAACCAGTGACCAAATTATTATTATTATTATTTTTGAAAAGCGATCCACTAATCGACTTACAACTGGGTTTCTATTTACTGCTGGGTAAACAGGCGTGTGGAGTACGTCAAAAAAGTGGATAATTAAACCATTTTGTTTAAAAATGCACGAAGCCACATCCAACCGAACCACATACGCAGCGCTGCTAATCATTAAAATCAAATAAGTCAAAATTTTCAAACCGAGACCAAAAATAAACCCCTGTACACGTTTGGCACTCGATTTCGTACCATATTCCAATGGAAGCCACGATTATGAGAAATGTACATTTTTAAAAGACTATTCCCTGTTTTGACTGAATGGAATGACTGACTCGCAAAGCTTATTGCGATTCTAGTCACGCCTAACTGCAAATATATTGGGACTTGGAAGATTACTGGGGTTTGGAGTTGAAGGGTTTCATCCAAAACTAGGAGGAAAGGGCTGATAAGCAGCATCTGGTTTTGAGTTTTAAAATGTTGTTACTATTTCCCTTACTGTGTGTTTGCCTCTTCTACATATCAATTCCTGGCAACTCTTAATGTCAATCTTGATAGGGCCATAAGGCACTGAGGCAATGCGAGTCAATTTTCTCTTCTTATGAGAAAGCATGCTTAAGATTGGAAACTTGCTGTCCTCAGGAAATCCTACATCCCACTATTTAATGGCCCTTTGCCTGGGAGACCCGAAGCAATGTACTGGCACATTATCATCACATAGATATGAGACTAGATAGTGCTTCAAAACTCCCTCAAAACCCTACGTACCTGCACCAATCATTGTAATAGGGGATTCAATGTAAATCCATTCGTCTGTGTATATACCGGAGTGTACAAAGATAAGGCCATCAAAGTGAGCTTCCTGAACACCCCCCAAGGCATCTTCAATGGTGTCATAGTACTGTTGGGGAAAATAAAATCAGTTTAAAATCAACTTCAAAATGAAGGGTGCAGAATTTTGTCTAAACATAAAAAATAATTTTTACCAGCATGTTTTCTCTTCCTTTATACCTCGCGGGATTACTGTAGAAGTGTTCTGTAAATCCAGGCTTTACGTGTGCACCTTTATACTAAGATGCAAAGAGAATGCAGTCAAAATTGATGTATAGTAACACACAAAAGCTGGAATTTCCCAGTAAAATCACTTCAGCGCTGGTCAGGGTGTGTATCGATCGTGGCAGCCTGTTGTCGGTCACTGACGAGCATCGCATGTTGCACCTGGAAAACGCGCACAAAAGCCAGAAAAGTAAACACATAAAGGGTTGCTAGTCTCAGTATATTACACACTGTGATTTGCAGTCTGAGCCATATACAGGACAAGGTGATTTTCTGGCCTGATGTTTGTAACATTAGTGAAGGCATTATCTCAGTGGCCCCTTGGGGTAGAGATTTTGTGGGGAAAAAAATTCAGCTAAAGTTTCCCGATCCCTGTAGTACCTTGTGAATCTTACTGAAGCGTCCATGTCAAAGGACAACAAAAAAAACAATAATCTAGGATGACACACTGAAAGGTCGCTTGGGCAATGATAGCCTGCTGGCACACACACACAAAAAAAATCAATGAATAGAGGAGTCAAGATTCACAAAGCTGAAAATGGTCAGCCTCTTCAGCACCGGATGAAAATGCCTTGTGGTTGTGCCTTCTGCACAGTAATTGACCACAGAGTGCACTCAAGGTTGAGGAGTTATTTCACCGAGTTAGGCGATCTGAATGATAGACCCGAGACTCAAATTTGTGTCCAACTGGAGGCAATTCCTGTTATAACAAGCCAGGATTTAGTAACTTTTTAAAGCATCAGAACAACCATAGCGAGAGATACTCGTTGAATTTCCAAAGCTACAGGAGCGAGTAGAAGGGGAAGCTACCTGCGTAAGTCAATGCCAATTCTGGGTATTGGAGACTTGGGAGCAGGTCACTCACCCACTGAGTCGTGTGACCTACAGAACGCACGTGGAGGGCACGAGAGAGAAAACAGGAGGAATTTCACACCTTCAAAAATAATCATGTTGCTGTTTACCAGGGGAATACTCTTTTGCAAACCCCTCCCCCAGACCCTGTAGGAACATTTTTGAGAAACTAGGCTCCCTTCCCTTTGAAAATTCTATTTTTTTTCTCTTAGATTTGCTTCTTCAGAGGATTCTGACCTAGTTTGAAATGGAACCACTTTTGTCGAGTGGCAGTCGAAGAGATCTTTACACCATTAATTCTGTAACTACAATAGTCAAAGTTGCTTTAGGAAGGAGAGGGGATTTGAACGTATCAAACACCATCTCATCAGAGGTATCCCATCGGCAAACATTCAAAAAGTACTGTACCAGTTGCTGAAAGCTTTCTTTCCACGGATTAGGGTGCTCACACTCCTCTGGATTAATCTGATAAAATTCGCCTGGTTCTGGATGCATCATTGGACGTGTGTACTCAAAGACTTCCATGTATAACCGTTTCCTGGAAAAATAAACAACAATTTTCTCAAGATTTTAAGAGATTTAAAGGCTTGAAACCCTGTAGAGAAAGAATAAAATCTCTTGAATTTCTTGTAAGGCAGCAGAACTAAACTCAAATTCAATTGAGGTATAACCACATGAACATTTATCCAATAAATGTATAAGGGATGGGTCCAATTTCAATTTTTTTCCATGCTATATGTAAATTCCATAATGTTGCAACTATTTTTATTGAAGTTCCATTTCTTATACCACATGGAACCATTTTAACATGCAATTGGTATAAGAGCAATGTAAGTGCTGTATCAGTGCAATCTGACTCAAATAATATTTTTCAATTACAATATTTGGAAAACTCAAGATTCAATAAGTAGCATAATGCGGACTCCAATTTTAGAATCTGGCCGAGTAGTAAAAGCACAGGGTTACTACTGTTCTGAGTCAATATGGTCTGTTCCAAAAGGCTTGTGATTGCTAACTGAATAAAGTAAGTGAGTGAACAGGTTATCTCTTAGCACTGCAAGTTGTCTAGTAGTTTGGAGAAAGTGATGCAGCTCAATGAGGAATAACTTGCATGCTTAATGTCTGCAGGATTATTGATTTCTCTAATGCATATCAATCATAGAATCATAGAATTTATACAGCAAGGAAGGAGGCCATTCAGCTCATCGTGTCTGTGCTGGTTCTTTGAAAAGAGCTATCCAATTCAATCCCACTCCCCTGCTCTCTCCCATAGCCCTGAAAACGTTGATCTCCCCAAATAATTACCTACTTCTCTCAAAAGCTGTTATCGAATCAACTTCCACCATCCTTTTAGGCAATGCATTCCAGATCTAAAAAACTTGCTGTGTGAAAAAAAATTTCCTCCCCTCCCCTTTGATTCTTTTAACAACTATTTTAAATCAATGTCCTCGGGTTACCGACCCACCCACCAGTGAAAATAGTTTCTCTTTGTTCACCCTATTGAATCCCCTCATAATTTTGAAAACTTCTATTAAGTCTTCTCTTAACCTTCTCTTCTCCAAGGAGAATAATCCCGGCTTCTCTCGCCTCTCCTGATAACTGAAGTCTCCTATTCATGGTACCATCCTGGTAAATCGCCTTTGCACCCTCTCCAATGCCTTGACATCCTTCCTAAGGTGTGGGGCCCAGAACTGAACACAGTCTCTGGCTGAGGCCCACCCAGTGTTTTATAAAGGTTTCTCATAACTTCCTGAATTTAGCATTCTTGTATACCCAAGTCATTTATACATATCAAAAACATCAGTGGTCCCAACACTGATCCCTGGGGGACACCACTGCACACTTCCCTCCAGTCAGAAAAATAACCGTTTACCGCCACTCTCTGCTTTCTGTCTCCCAGACAGTTCTGTATCTGTTGCCACTGTCCCTTTAATACTTTGCTTACAAGTCTCTTATGTGGCATTTCATCAAACACCTTTTGAAAATCCATATAAACTACCATCGACTGCACTACCTTCGTCCGCCCTCTCCATTACTTCATCAAAAAACTTTATCAGGCTTTTTTTTAAGACATAATTTGCCTCTAACAAATCTGTTTTGGCTGTCCTTTATTAACTCATATTTTTCTAAGCGAAAGTTTACTTTGTCGTGGATTACAGTCGTGAGAAGTTTCCCCACTACTGACTGGAACTGACTACTGAAGTTGCCTTTTAAAGATAACAAAGTCTGAGAATTTTATGAATAAGTGAAGAAAAGAAAATGAGGCTCAAGTTACCATAAAATCGGATCATTAGCGAGCTCACTGAATCGTTTACACACACAAGCTGCTCTGCAAAGGTCCTGTTCAAGAAGGTAAGAGAAGATCTTCAAAACCACCTCATCTGGTAGTTTTTCTTGAAGATACTGCTCTGCTGGTGCTGCTATAAGATGAAAAACACAAGCACGAAATTTAGATGCAATATTATGCACCAGACAAATACGGTATATCAAGAGCTCGTAGCACGCTCAACACAAACACAAAACTGGGCTGATTTCAGGGAGCGTTACAATCAATGTGCTGTATTACCAAGGGGAAAAGCAAAACTCAATCAGCATTTCCACTAGATACCAAACAAAACACTCAGCTAAACTATTAGGTCCTAATAGGACGAACTGGTTAACCATCTCATCAGGAGCTCAAAACAAATCTGGGATCTTCACGGCCAGATTTTCTTTCCAGCAACACAAATGATTTTACCACGTGTGTGGCAGCTTCTAATCTGTAAATAAAGCTACTCAGATCACTTTACTTATACTTATTTAAACACTGATATGGAGCTGTAATCTGTGAGCTGGATCTACTTTACACTGAAGCAATTCAGAGCTGATAGCTAGCTCACCACACGTCACAGCAGCAAATGTGGATGGGAGAAATCAATTTTACAGCTGAATCCGTTGTCAGAATTAGTAATAGCAGTACTTCTGCTGAATTTCTCGGGGCTCTCTTTCTTCACATTTTGCACCTTAAAATCATCAACTGGAGGTGATTTTTCAGCTTGTATTTCTACAGTCAATTCACTTTACAGTGTATCCTGTGAAGCGCGTTGAGGCATCTCGAAGACGTGATAAGGCGCTATATCAAATGCAAGGATTATTATTTTTGAGTGGGTGGGGGGGTAGAGAAAACAAGTCAGCTAGACAACCAACTTAAACTGAGAAAGCTTCAGACATCGAGAGCCATTTCGTTAGCAATGTTCATTTTCAAACCAGGCCACACTGATATTCAAAGCTAGAAATTAAACGTCTTTGGGCAATAAACCACACTCATGGTTCGTGTCCTTGCTGTCAAGCCTAAACATCAAAGTTTATGCAGATTGGGGGACAGCACACCATGAAGCAGTAATTTAATCGACGAGATAACAATGAACTGTCCAAGTGAAGCTCAACCAATCCCCCTGATGGAATTAATTCCCTCGCTCTGGAGTATTTATTGAAGTCGAGTTTAGAGACTGCTTCTTTGATGTAAGAATGGCGCAGGCAAGGAGTATTATTACACTGAAAGCATCAGCCGAGGATGTCTGACCTGAAGTCACACAATACTGCAAGTTACTGCAGTGCAACATGCTGCGTCCAGCAGATACCAGAGAAACATATAACCTGTATATTTATCATGCCATTTGAAATAATTCAGATAGAAACAAATTAAACCAAGTGATCCATCAGTTTAAAGAAAGGAGAGGGAAGAGAAACTGATGCCAGAAATCAGCAAATGACTGATTAAGCTCTTAGACCAAATATGTGTCCTTTAGTCAGGAAAAGCTGTCTTTATAATCAATAGACAATTTGATTGCAGTCTTCCTCTCCCCATCTGACAGAATGAGTCTAAATAGACAAAGTGCCTTTGTGTTTAAAAGGCAACTAATACTTCAGATTTAGAATTGGTTTACCGAGTCAATTTGTTTTGATATGTAGTTCACCTGCTCTTTAGAGAGCATCGGAGATTCCACAAATTTGGAAATCTGAATGGTTCTAGATTGAACTTTATATTAAATTGGAAGAAAGTAGACATTTAATAGGCTGCTGCTGTTCATCCAGACTTCAACACAATCATAGTCAAAACAAATTAAATTCAAATTGACCTGATTTTTAAAAACCTTTCCTTTATATTTATTTTGCTGTGCGCAATTGGCTACCACGTTCGCCCACAAATATAGTCAATTCACTTTACAGTGTGTTCTGTGAAGCGCTTTGGGACGTCCTCCCGACGTGAAAAGCGCTATATCAAATGCAAGGATTATTATTATTATTATTATTATTTTGTCAAAATGACGAACATCAGTATTATTAGGAAGGCAGCTCTGATCGTATCACCCCTGCCATTTGCCGCAGGTTCAGGGGAAATTTTTGACTCAGGCGTACAAATCTCAAAGGAAACGGTTCAAATGCCTACTCAACTGAGGCCACCAGATGGCGACATGGGCAACCCGGCTTGAGAACCACCTCCTACACCAATGGCACTGATCCAATGTTCAGCACAAGGATCCAAATGGTTTGTATCAGATCCCCACTGGGCTTAAATATTGGCGCCAGGAAGATTTGTGCCGGAGATGTAGGCAGTTTAAGGTTGCACTTGGAAAGGTCTGCAAGGATACACACCTGGATGAAAGTGGTCAATTTTCAGGTTAACTTTGAATGCCTCTGCCCCTACACCCCTACAATTTGTACGTTGGGTGGCATTATGGGATTTGTGCTCTATCTATTAAAGTTGATGGCTGGAACTCTTTGTGGTCTCCAAATCAATCATCAGCTGGGAGTGATCAATCTCATCACCAAATTGCCAGATGACCCATTTAAGATAGTTACGTTTCAAAAGCTTTTTTTTAAGAACTTGAGGTTTGTTGACCTATATATAATGCCAGACACTTGGGAATATCAGGCATACATAAATTTGTGTAATTGGTGTGATTTGTTGCTCTGCAAACAGGAGCATCAATATTAAAAATAAAGTGTTCTTTTAACATAAATGTAACATGAATCTTGGAACATAAGAATTTATAAGGTGATACTCCCTGGAGCAACTGGAAACTTGGATTGAGCGCTATTGGTTAGAACCTCTCTGGTTCGCCAACAAAATAAATGTTTCTTGATTGAATATTTCTTGGTTTAGGGCAGAAAATTATTTTGTTATTTCTATGATTATTTTGTTGGCCAACCAAGAAGGTTAGACTGGGTCACTGGGTTAGACATTATGAACTCTTGTGTGCATTTCAATTCACCACCTAGTCTTGCAACAACAACAACAAAATTACATTTACAGAGCGCCTTTCACGTCGGGAGGACGTCCCAAGGCGCTGGACAGTCAGGGGTCAGGACCCAAGCATGGGGGAGGGTGGGGTAGGTGTGAGGGAAGGCAGAGAGGTGGGAGGGCGACCAAAGGCACGATCAAAGAGGAGGGTCTTGAGACCGGCCTTGAAGGAGGCGAGGGAGGAAGCTAGGCAAAGGGACTGTGGGATGGAGTTCCTGAGTGTGGGGGCAGAGAGGCTGAAAGCTCGGCCACCGATGGTAGGGTGGGTCGGGCGGCATCAGTAGATGTGGAGCAGGCCGGAGCCCGCCGAATGGAGGGAGCAGGCGGCATTAGTATTGTATGTTAGGATTATCGATTCAAATTCATTTCATTTGAGTACCAATCCTGATATGTTCTGATACTTATTCTGTTCATGCAATCTAAATTAATTAAGACGTTTTTAAAGGCAAACTGATGTACGTCAATGCAAGTTACCTGGAAGATCTTGGACCTTGCCTGACACTCTTGCACGCTTAGCTCGGTGGCCAAAATTTTCTGTAGTTGAAGTGGAAGCACCCTGGGAAGAGACAGTAAAAAGCATCAACTGCTGCAACTCTCAACTGACAATTGCAATCAAATCATGCAAATAAAAGCCAATGTCAACTCGATCACCTAAACAGCAAACATTCCTAACAGTAACATATTGATTTATTCTGAAAAGTAAGAACAGTTACTGTACTGGAAAATAGTTTTACACCGCAATGATAATTATGTATACGTTCCCACCCCCTCCACACCGGTCTTCATTTACCCATCAATGATGATGCTGGATAAGCTTTCTCGAGTGGGAAAGAGCTGGTAGCCCATCTGTTCACAGAATGTAATTATATTAGTCGGTATCCGGAAATCTTGGAACACAAGATTGTTTTGGGAAAATAAATCATCAAAGTCTATGTCCATCCATTACAGTTTATGGAGTTGGGGGGAACAACAATAAATCACATTTGCACAGCACCTTTCACGTCAGGAGGACGTCCCAAGGCGCTGGATAGTCAGGGATCTGCACTCGAGCTGGTGGTTGTGGGATGGAGGGTAGATAGGAGGGTGACCAAAGGCACGGTCGAAGAGAAGTCTCGAGTTGTGTCTTGAAGGAGGCAAGGGGAGGGGGCGAGCTGGAGAGATTGTGGGACGGAGTTCCAGAGCGTGGGGGGCAGAGAGGCTGAAGGCCCTCCCCTGGACAGGCAAAGCGGGGGACGCGAAGCAGGTCCGGGTAAAAGACCAGACAAAACTCAAAGGGGAGATCTGTACTCCAAAGTACTGTGCTGACAGGGATACTTGATCGATAATAATACTAATAATAGTCCTTGCATTTGATATAGCGCTTTTCACGTCGGGAGGACGTCCCAAAGCGCTTCACAGAACACACTGTAAAGTGAATTGACTGTATATTTGTGGGTGAATGCGACAGCCAATTGCGCACAGCAATGTCCCACAAACAGTCGTGGATTAAAAATGACCAATTTATTATTGTTTTTTTGGGAGGGATTATTATTAGGCTCTGTGTGAAGTAAGGAAACGATATCACCTCCCATCCGAATCCGTCTATTCCCATCCGAGATACTGACAGTAATTCGGTTTTAAATTATCCTTGCATTTGAAATTGTAAATTTCATGTTGAGCAGATGCTGCAAAGTGCTTCACGGAATTTTACTCTAAAGTGTAGGGACTGTGTATTTTGCAGGTGGGAAAAGAAGTAAAGAAATTTATTACGTGTTCAGGATAACATAGAATCCAGTTGAATAAAAAAAAAGAAGAAATACATAATATGGATAAATAACCTTCATATCCAGCAGTTACACCAAAACTCCCATTTCTCTTCCAGACTACACTCACTCAGGTATACTGGTCACGATGCGTACAATTAGTCTTAATTACAGGAAAACATAATTTAAATTTCATCCTGGATTGTCGCAAGTCAGGACTAAAATGAAAATCCAAGCACGAGCAGTTTTGTGTCAGTACTTTTTCTTCTCTTTTCTCTTCCCATCACCTCCTCAAGCTTTGCTGATGTGCTGCTGTTTTCATTTATCTTGGCATAAACATCAATGCTTTGAATACTTTTACAACCAGTTATTTGCATGATGCGGTTAGCAGGCACATCATTTCAACCCTTCGTGAATGAGCTAATTCTTGCTAAGCAATTAGCCGGCTGTTTGTCATGTTCAAACTGTGCCCCAGCCTGTTTAAAACCATACATTGCGACATAATATTTGGCTTACAGAATGCTCACTTTTACACCTTTCGAAAAGGAAGTCTAGTGAAGATCTATTAAACAAGAGTAGTTACAGTAGCACGCCAATGATCGACTGTTTTAGCAATGCATCCTTCTTCCCCATACAACAAATACTGCTTGTTTTCCATGTTACTTTATTACTTTTGTGCCACATTTGAGGCGAGATTGTGCCTTGCCAACTATTCTTGAGATAAATTGTTCATTCACCTCATGATCGCTTGTGAAACCTTGCTGTGTGCCAAATGGCTGCCACATTTGCCTACAAAAAAACTCAACACCCATAACTTTTGAGACTGTGATGTTATAAAGAACTATAAAATGTTAGGCTCTTTTGCCTTCTTAATTTGAAAATCAGTGGTGATTTAAAAGAAGAAGTCCCATATTCCTCCACTATCACTGTAGGGAGAATTGCAAATTACTGTAATAAGGCATGGAAGGAGGGGTGGAAGAAACAACATTCAACACATCTATCTGCGAAAACTGTACTCAGGCAAGTTTACAGCAGGAAAGGATGTAAATCGGCACTTAAATTCTCCAGTCCCAGTTGAAAACAATTGTATGTTAAGAGTGGATGCAGTGCACCTTGTGGGCCAAGTAGTTTCTTTTTTCTACAGTTCGAACGCAAGCCTCTATTTTTAGACTGTTTCCAAGTTAGGATCTGCTGATTTTAACCATTTCTGGATTTATCGTCCGGCAATACATTATAGCTGATGGAATCATTTCGCTACAAACCTCAGGTACAGGACTGCGTTTTTTTTTAAAAAAACAAAATGGTCACTGCATTTAAATGATTTTCTGACTTGGATCTATTTAACTGATCAGTTATTCGCCCCAGTTTATTTGCTATTTATGGTAAACTAGGTCACTTGCGTTCCATCACTTCCCAACGGCTCAGTTAAAATTCAATGCCTGTCAAGCTCCGTTGATGACGCCAGTTAATGGCTAGAGTGAAACAGCCGTACAAGTCGATTGGCAGATCGCTTTTCCGGGGGTAATAATCCCTTCAAAAAAAAAAAAATTTTTAAATAAAAATTCGGTCACTAAATCTACGACTGTTTGTGGGGACGCTGCTGTGCACGATTGGCTGCCCGGTTTCACCCACAAAATATACGGTCAATTCACTTTACAGTATATTCTGTGAAGCGCTTTGAGGGGTCTCGAAGACGTGATAAGGTGCTATATCAAATGCAAGCAATATTAATATTATTATTAATATTATTATAAGAATCCAGATCTGTGCAGAGTTTGCTATTTTTGTTGGGGAACTACAACTGGCTTCAGTTTCCCCAGGAAATCCCCCCCCATGGAGGACGAAGTCAGACAGGGTTCCCCACTATTAATCACTATCAATGACTTCTTCTGGAAAGGGTAAATATGTGTACAACAGGGCGAGGACTGGATTGGGCTCAGCTGTGATGCATATCCCTGGTTGAATCGCCTGCCAGCACTCACCCTCCATACTCTCACCCACAAAGATGGGCACTTAGACCTAACACATCATTAGGAAGTTGGCAATTGTGGAACAGTACTGCAGCACAAATCAGTGTCTGCAGGACAGAAAGGTTATCATTGAATGGGGGAGGGGGAGAGAGAAAATAATTACAATCATTCATCAACAACAAAATTACATTTGTCTAGCGCCTTTCACGTCAGGGGGACGTCCCAGGGCGCTGGACAGACAGAGTTACGGACCCGATCTGAGGGGAGGGGTGGGGGAGGGTGGAGGGCAGGGGGGTGGGGGGAAGCAGGGAGATCGACAGCACGGTCGAAGAAGAGGGTCTTGAGGTGGGTCTTAAAGGTAGCGAGGGAGGGGGGCGAGGCAGAGGGACTGCAGGATGGAGTTCCAGAGGGTGGGCGCAGAGTGGCAGAAGGCCCGCCCGCTGATAGTGGGGAGAGCGAGGCGGGGGACGTGAAGCAGGCCGGAGCCCGTCGAGCAGAGGGAGCGAACAGGGTGGTAGAGGGTTAGGAGGTTTGAGAGGTCGGGGGGAACAAGACCGTGGAGGGCTTTGAAGGTGAGGACCAGGATCTTGAACAGTATCCTCTTGTGTGATGGGAAGTCAGTGGAGTCGGGCGAGGATGGGGGGTGATAGGGTCACGGAGCCCGGTGCGGGAGAGGACACGGGCTGCAGAGTTTTGGATGATCAGCAGCCTGTGGAGGGAGGAGTTAGGGTTTGCATAGTTGAGCCTCGATGTAATGCAGGAGTGTATGAGGGAAGATCAAGAGTACAACAACAACAACAAGAAAAAATAGAATATAGAATCTCAACAGTTAATATTTGCATTTCGTAAAAAAAAAAATCCACAAACTTTTTTTTTTAAAAAAAAATGGTTTCAATTTTCCAGTTCATTAGGACTTGCATTGTGGCATTGTAAATCAAGGTCACCTCATTTTGAATGACTTGTGTTGAAGTGGTACGTGCAATGTAATTTGTTTAAACAATTACGCCAATGATACAGGTTATGCCAATGGTTGCAGGAAGGCAATATAAAGCACTTAAAGCAAATATTGTCCTGTGAACCCACAATTGGCTTCCTACGTGCTGGCAGTTTTCTGTGGGCTTACAAAAAAATGGCTGTTTGTGGTCATCAGACTGACACAGTGACTTCCTGCATACTACGCATGTGCAATACGCACAGGAAGTTTGTGCGTTCCCAGTGTGCTGACTGACCTCCAACAGCCATTTTTGATCAGACTGCATTATCGCGGGGAGGAATTTTTCTGGACTACACCCCACAAAGCACCACTCGTAATCTAATTTATTTTTGAATTTGTGGAAATGTTTTTTTTACAAAAAAAACTGTTTAAAGAAAAAGAATCTAATGGAATCCTAGGCTTTATAAATAGGACATGGAATATGAACAGCACTGGACTAAATGTATATAAATTAGTTAGGCTTTGGCAAAGCTGGAAAGATTTGGTATCTAGTTTTAGGACGATAGGAAGGATGTCAAGGTTGCAGAAAGGGTACAGAGGAGATTCAATAGGATATCAAGAATGAGAGGTTTTACTTAGGGAGACACTTGGAGAACTGATTTTCCCTAAAACAAAAAAGGTCGAGTCTTTTTTTCAAAAAAAATAAGGGGTTTGATAACCTAAACAGGAATGTCCTCCACTGGTCTGTTAATTGGTAACTAAGGGGCACAGATTTAAGATAATATACTTTAAGTGCATAAGTAGTTTTTTTAATATTAAAAAAAATGCAGAATGCCCTACCTAGAACAGTAATTGAGTCAGAATCCGTGTGACTTTTTAAGATTAGATAAATATCAGAAAATGAGAAATA